CCCCCCCCCCCGGAGATAAGTCCCACCACTGTTGTATCATCTGCAAATTTAGTCATAGTATTACTGGTGTGAGTGGGAATGCAGTCATGTACATAAAGAGTATAGAGTAAGGGACTCAACACACAACCCTGTGGTGCACTGTGCTGTCTGCTGCCTGCTCAGCATTTGAGCATAAAGAGCCAGAAAGATTTACTGACCTCTGATGCCCAGAAAAAATGGGAGCTGAAAGATTATTTTGAACTTGTAGCTTTTGAATGGATTCATTACCCAGACACTTCAAGGGGAGGTATCAGCCTCCGCAAGGAAGGCCACTTCCTAGCATCAGTGGGCTGTGTGATGCCTGTCTTCAGCTCTCCCCAGAGAAGCACCCCACATTGATTGGTTTCAATTCATGGCTTTCTCATCAGAAGGCTCAACCCATGAAGGCTCAACCCCAAGAACCGTCACCAATATTCCTTTTTAGTCTTAAGCTGCTTTTTTATTGGTCTAGGAAACTAATCAGATCTGGGGGAAATGATCCTGTTATTTCTTTTTCTTCATTCTGAGAAATTAAAATCAGCAAAGACCATCTTTGTGCACCTTGTAATCTTGGCTGAGTTGGGTTTCCAGCAGCTGAGTCTCCTTTGATTGCTATATGTCTCCTCCCTGAAAGTCCTGTAATAAAATCCAGGAGGGGTTTTTTCAGACGATCTCCTCTCTTGGCCATTTATAGAACATGTATTCCTGCTCTGGACTCCTGCTAATTTTTAGCCTGGGTGTGTTTCTGACCAAGGCTGTGCCTTTTCCTCTGCTCCCTCTTTCAAGATATTGTGTGTTATTTGATTACCAACTGATTCAGATGATCTCTTCTCTGCCACTAGTAAATTGTTGCGCATTCTTTCTCCTGCTTCGCAACTTCCCTTCGGCTGCTTGTGTGTAGCCATCTCCAGACAAGCCTTCTGTCAGCTTTGGAAGCCGTATTCCACGCTGCCACATAGCCTGAGAAAGTGGGAGGGGGGTGATTTCAACAGAGTAGTTCTAAGTAGACAAAATAAAATTCTTTTCTTAGTTCAAGGTTATTAAGTGTGGCGCAGCAGAGGAAAAGGATCTTACACTGGGACAAATCGTGATTGGTCCATGTGATGTGATGATGGAAGAAAAGGGGATGGTTAGTAGTTTGGGACATTGTGGGAAGTCCGGGAAACTTAGTTTCGAGATTCCACAGATGTGCCAGGTGCTATTCTAATAAAGGTTCTTTTGAGATTATGCTTGTCTTGGAGTTACTGATTGGAATGGAGGTTTGCTGGAATGCTGACATCTTCCTGACATCCTCACTAGCCTGGCTCCAGAAGCTGCCTTCCTCCTACAGTTTGTTTCTTGCCCAGCTCCTCTTCAAGCCACATTCCACATTCACATCACTCCTGCACTTGGCCTGCCAATTGCATGGATATTTTCTCCCTGCACTGAAGCCAGGGCACGAAAACAGCAGAATCTTGCAAGTCTATTGGCTCTGGAGCTCCTTCTCCTTTATATAATTCAGATACTTTGGAAGGCATCTGTCTGAGCCCTTTCCACAATTATCTTGTAATCCTGGACACTTTAGAGAGTACAGTAGAATGCAAGAGTCCCACCTTAGCCATGAAAGCCAGTTGGGTGACCTTTGGCCATTCACACACATTCAGCCCAACTCTTGGTTGCTATTGTGGAATAATAGGAGTAGGAAAGTGTGTTGCATATATTTTCTGCTTTGAATTATTTGTAATATAAATAAAAATGTTTCAGCCCCCTTTGCCTAAATAACAGTTTCTACAGACCTCCATCAAGGCCATTTTCTTTACTGGCTGCGTCTTTTGTTTCCAGATGGATCAATAAGGAGGGATATTTGTCAGTAGGCTCAATTCCTTCCTCCCTTCCTCCCTCCCTCCCTCCCTCCCTTCCTTCCTTCCTTCCTTCAGTGGAACAGTTTTCTTGATAGGCTGCCTCACTGTAGATCAGGGGTGTCCAACCTTGGCAACTTTAAGACTGTACCCCTGCTGTAGATTATGATTTCAGTCTCATCAAGTACCCAGGGCTTCTCCCTCTTCACGACAAGGGCAGGAATCCTTTCCTTTGCGCAGCTATAGAGTCCTCTTCCACAAACCTGAGACTTTTGCCTATAGATGCTCTTCAACTATAGCTCCAGAAGATGCTCAACAATGAATCATAGAATCATAGAGCTGGAAATTATCTAAAGAGACATATAGTCCAACCTCTGAATACGGCAGGATTCTCTACACAATTCCCAATAAATCCCCACCAATCTCTGAAGATTCCACTGAAAGGGGAAAAGCCACTATGGGCAGCAACCTTTTCCACTGACTTCTCTTACTGCCAAGACGTAATGTCTCATTTGTGTCTTCAGCCTTCTAGCAGGTCAGGTATTTCAAAAAACAGTTATTGCCTCCCTCTCAGGTTTCTCTTCTGCAAGCTTAACATGCTAGGGTTTGTAGGACCTCCTGTTCTTTTCCCGTTGTAGCCATTTTCTGGACTTGGTCCAGTTTATAAAAGTTTTTTAAATTGCAGAATTGAACACAATAGCCCAAGTGAGGTTGGCCTTGGATTACACCCAGATAATTAACGAGATGAAGGTTTTTTGGAGTGGGAGTCTTCATTTGTGCCACATTCATCTCTATTCTTTCATCTCTTCAGCTTTCTTCTAACTTTGGGGGGCTTTTGGTGATACATGTCCCTCACAAGAATTTCCTGTGCCAAATCAAGAATTCGTTGTCTTGTCAAATAAGTTGGACAGTTTATCTTTGCCTTCAGTAAGTGTAGAGAAGCAATAAGAATGAATGCCTTGAAGAATAAATCCAAGTGTGGTTATGTAAATGCCATCTGGGCCCCAAAAGGGAGGCGAGAGTCATCAAGATTGGCCTACCACGAGTCTTCTAGGTGTTAATGGAAGGCTCTCAAGAGTCTGTTGTTGTTATATTCTGCAGCAGTAAATTACACTTCTAATAGTGTAGTAGTGGGGTCTGTTTCTCGTGACGGCCCACCTCCGAGGGCTGGCAGTCAGCAGGACAGTTCTTGTTTTCAGGAAGGAAGAGACAATACATGGCACATTCCCTGCAGGTCATGAAAGCAATTCTTCCCAACTCCCCTCTTGGAATGAACATGAAAGCATGTTTGCTTGCTCAATGGTTACTGTAAGGATTAGAGTGTTTAATAATTTCATTGATAGCACAGTATATGTTTGCTTAAATTGACAAACTACAAAAAATATCAAGGCTTTAATAATATACTGCAGTTTAACATTCTAGGTTAGAGCACCTTCATATACCATATATATGTTTATTCAACAATAAATTCCATGATATTCCATGGGCTTATTTCTAGTTAAATGTTTCACTACAGGTAGCCTCGTGTTACGACCACAATTGAGCCCAGAATTTATGTTTTGCTAAGTGAAACATATGTTAAGTGAGCTTGCTCCATTTTACGACTTTTCTCGCCACATTTGTTAAGTGAATCCCTGCAGTTGATAAGTTAGTAAAATGGTTGTTAAGTGAATATGGATTCCCCATTGACTTTGTTTGTCAGAAGGTCGCAAAAGGGGATCGCATAACCCTGGGACACAGCAGCCATCATAAATGTGAGTCAGTTGCCAAGCATCCAAATGTAAATCACATGACCATGAGGATGATGCAACGGTCATAAGTGTGAAAACCGGTCACAGAGCTGTTGTAACTTTTGAATGGTCACTGAATGTTGTATGTCAAAGACCACCTATATATGCTTTGCAGTTGCAGCCTGAAGTTTTAATCCTGTAAACAGTGGTCTTTCAGTATAGAGAAGAAATGCTTTATTAATTTCAAAAATATGCATAGGATAGTGAAACAACATTTCTCTCAAGTTGAGCTTGGTTTTGGGTGATTTTGTGAACAATTTTTCCTTTCCATAGAAATGAGCTGCCATTGAAAAGCTTAATGTGCTTGGGGTGGTTAATACTTGGGTAAAAGGCCACTAGGAAATGCCAGGATAGGGGGGAAAAAATCAAGGGTGAGATCATCAGATATTTTGCATGTGAAGATCTAGTTTGAATAAAAATCCCACGTTCCTGAATCTAATGATGGTCTATTTTTTTATTTTTATTTTTTTTAACAGGTACTTGGACGTTGCTTTTTGACCGTGATGCAGGTTCATTTTCAGTTTCTATCCCAGGCTTTGCAGAAAGTCCAGCCAGTGGCTCAGTCATGCTTCATTGAGGCTGCAGCCCAGGAAAGAAAAAATTCTAGCATGAGTGAGACATCCAGCGCAAACCCCACAACCGAACTGGATGAAGCAGTGCGGTCATGGAAGGGAGCAACAGAGGTAGGACTGCTGCTGCTGCTGCTGTGTGGAGATGTCAGGACTTCTACATTCAGGCTTCTCTCTTTAATCAGGATATGCAAAATTGTTGCCTTTTCCTTCACCTATCACATAATTTATTTTTGTTTCCTTTATGATGTCTAGGTTTCCATGTGCAGGGGAATTTTTCGATGGTCACGTTCAGAAGATATGCTTATTAATTAGGTCAAAGAGTTTAAGTGGGCTCTGCAACAGGAAAGTTGACCCAGCCAATCAAACTTAAAGTGCCCACTTTTAGCCCCCGATGGCCCCAGTAATTCTGCTTTATCAACTGAGTGGATAAAATAGCTGATGAGAGGGATAATTAACACTTCTAATTTTGCACCAGAGCCAGAATCTTAGAATGCTGTGTTAATAACAATCGCAAATAGCATTTAGGCTTGTATACCAACCCATAACGCTTTTTTCAGCACTCTCTGGGCGGTGTATACTGTAGAAGCATTACTTGCATATTGCCCCTAACAATCTGGGTCCTCGTTTTATTGACCTCAGAAGGATGGAAGGCTGAGTTGAGCCCTGCCAGGATCGAACTCCAGGCTGTGGGCAGAGCTTGCCTGCAGTACTGCACTTCAACCACTTCACCACCAGGGCTCCTTCATTTTTGTGGACATTTGTGGATGAGCCCACAAATGTTGATCATCTCTCTTTCAAGAATATTGTCAGACTATCTGCCTTCCCTTGGGAAACGGCAAATATAGACTAGAGGTTTGCTCTGGGACATTTCCTCCCTGAATGAGCTCTGAAGTTGGGATGTCTCTTTACCCTCCAGGCAAAGCCCCCTTCCCTTCAGCGGGTGGCTGCTCTCCCAGTTCCACCCCAACCTTTTGCCGCTGTGGCCAGAGCAGAAGGGCCTCCCTCCCTTTGCTCTCTGCTTTTGTTGCTTATCTGCCTCCTTTGAAGCTGGGCCCGTTTGCTACACAGGGCTAAAGTCAGGCTGGGTTTGGAAATTTTTAAATAGCTGGCAAAGATGAGAAGATTATTAGAGATGGAAAAATTGACTTGTTTGTTTAGACAATAACTAACATTCATTAGCGATTGGAAATGCCTTATGAACTTTTTGCTGAAAAAAGGGGAAAAAATGAACTTGTGATTTATGAGTTTGAGGATTAGAAAGGATAGGCTCTGGGGGAAAAATTACTGTTTGTAGTGTTAGAGGGAGTGGGTAAAATATAAATTAATTGATGATAAGAAGAAGGAAGCCGCTCCTTATATAACTTTTTTCTTTTCTTTTTTTCTTTTTCACTTATTACTTTCATTTCCTTTCCTCATTCAAAATTTGTACTATTTTTGTTTTTAAATTGTTTTCAAAAATGATACAAAAAGAATTCTATTTGCAAAGTTAGCCCCTTTGTCTATCATGATGAAGTGATCTTTGATCAGAGTTATGTTTGTAAAAACAAAGCTGCCTCTTTCCTAAACTTTGGCTTAATGTCCCAATATGAAATATAAACTATGAAATTTAACTTCACTTAAACAATTCAAAATTACTTCTGTCATTTTGTCACCTTTTCTGCCACCTGTTTAAAAGGCCACTTCACGGCTTCGAGAGAAAGAGGGAGGCCGTGATGGCTGTTTGGCTGGAATCGAAGTCCAGCAACTCTTCTGCTCCCAGAATGTGGCCATTCCAGAGCACCAGCTAAAAGAATTGAACTTGAAAACAGACAGTGCTTTGCAGGTCAGTTTCCCTGGTGGGGATTATTATTTTCTTTACTATCTAGACAGGGCACAATGTCCATGGTAAGGAATGATGGTATAATGGGGTGATTTTCCTACTTGGGGTTTTATGGACAGTCTGTTCTGATATTTATCTCTTATGTGGTGCTTTTTTTATATATATATGTATCAGGCATATAAGATTGCTTTGGATAGTTTGGGTCACTGTGAATATGCAATGAAGGCTGGTTTCCACTTGAATCCAAAGGCAATTGAAGAAAGCTTGCAGGTAAGAACCTCTTTCTCTGGATCTAGTCAAGAGAGGCAAAACTGGTGGGTAACAATTAAGTGGTTCTGTTTTGCTTTGGACTTTTGTGGCTTTAGGGCTGCTGCAGTGAAGCTGAAGCTCAGCAGACTGGACGGAGACAGACTCCCTCCCAGCCTATTCAGTGTGAGCTGCCAACTGTTCCCATCCAGATAGGGGCCCACTTTCTGAAAGGAATATCCTTCAACGAATCTGCAGCAGATAACTTAAAACTGAAAACGGTAAGTCTCTTTAGTTGCACTGTCCATTTTTTTCCTTCTGGGAGTAGAATCTTACTATGTGCTAAAACCAGATAGGTAGAGAGCAGGCCTTTGAAAATTTGTGTTACTGGGACACGTATATGTATTCGTGAGAAAGTGAAGTTGAATTAGGTGCAAAAACCAATTCTGTGTTCAGCTAAGAAAACCTCTCTGCCATTTTACTTGGGCATCTTTTCTGGTTTGTGTCATGCCATCCTGAATTTCTCTGGCAGTTTCCCCTTGCATTCGGAATGGCTTTGTATGGTCATGGTTTGCTTCCTTGTCTCAATTTGAGCTGTACATTTTTACCTGTAATTGCAAAGAAATTCCTCCTAACGTCTCAATGTGAACTTAACCTCTGTGTCTTGGTCTAACCTTCCAATTCCTGCTGTGCTTCTCCTCATGGTGGCAGGGGTGGAAGTGGGGGCGGCAGTGGACAAGGTATGTTGTTAATTCTGGCAATCCTTTAGGGACTTTTTGCTGACATAAGGACTGAAAAGATGGTGCTTTATAGGTAAGAGATGGGATATGAGATAAAGTTTGAGTTTGCAACCTCAAAAGTGGTGAAGGAGTCATTACACTTGTGATGAAGATTGGAAGTCACATCTTTATATACTTCTTTCTTTATTGTATTCTTACTTTTTTCTTGCATTTTTACTCCTCCTTTCTATTGTCTTTAAGTTTAGTTTGGATTAGATTTTACTATTATAATCAACATTCTTAATAAAAATTGTGTGCGTATGTGTGTGTGTGGTTGGAGATCATAGTGGTTAGAGCACTGCCGTTTGATATAGGAGACTGGGGTTAAATCCTATATGTTTGTCAGTAGGGATCCTTCAGCAATGTTTCCTACTTCATGTATGGGAATGAAACAAATTAAGAGTTATGCCAGCTCAGATGTCACCTAGTTTAACAAGTATCACATTTGGGAAACCGAACAACCTGAAGATAAGTGAGCCATTGAAACAAATCATATATGGATGAAACAAGAGAACCTGGAATTGATGAAATGCTACTATACCTGTAGTCCTGATCGGAGGAGACATATGATATGGGATGGATGGACAGCAAACCTACTGTAAGGACCTGCCTCATCTGTCTTCTCAGAAAAGCACGACTCTTGAAACAGATGGTATTTCCAAAGGAGCTTTTACTGAGATAAGGGATTGCAGAGAAGTCAGGCAGAGTCTGAAGATTCCCACACAAAGCGTTCAGCTAATTTCCCCTGTTCAACCCCCACCCAGAGCCCCATGTCCACCAGTAGCCAATGCGATGCCACACAGCTGTTATGAGAACTCAGAGGTGGGCTGGTGATAAGAGGTCATCCTTGGGGCACCGTGGCCTTGGGTAACAGGCTGAAACTGTCTGAGAGGGAATCCATCCTGATGGCCCAGTCCCCCTCCCTAGTTCCCACGCAGTTACAGCAAAAGCGAAAGCAGTCCACGAAGCATCGTTCTGGCAGGAACCTGACACCTACACCACTTTGAGAAATACCCAGTGCTTCAACAGTAAGGAGGAAGCTGTTCTCACAACTGGAGGTAGATCAAACTACGTATTACATTCTTGACTCAAGAAGAGTTGGAAAAACAACTGGATGTGCAACCAACACCTGAAGCTGGAAGGTTTCTACCCCCTCCGTTACAGAGCACAAATGCTAATATGGGTATAAGATCATGGATAAATTAGCTGCAGTGAACTCTCAAGATCAGCTGCCAAGAGTCACTGGAGAAGTGCCATCCGATAGTATGTGAGGAGATTTCAGTAGAGCCCTCATGCCAATCCTTCAAGTAAACTACACACGTAGATGCTGCTAGCAGCCGGCTTCCACTTAGAGGGGAGACAGGACAGTGCTGATTATGAAGGACCTGCACAAGGAAACAAACCATTCACACTGTGTTTCCCCGAAAATAAAACTGGGTCTTATATTAATTTTTGCTCCAAAAGATGCATTAAGGCTTATTTTTAGGTTATGTCTTATTTTGGGGGAAATATGGTAATAAATGTGTCCGTCTGGTTGATGATCTTAACTGGAGCTTATTTGGTGGGTAGGGCTTATATTACAAGCATCCTGAAAAATCGTGATGGGGCTTATTTTCCAGTTGAATCTTATTTTGGGGGAAACAAGTCAATAACCTTTCTCTCCACAACATGAAAAGTCCTATCAGACTTTCAGAGTGCTGTTAGAAGAGACAAGAAGCAGTATTACAACATCTGTAAAGATAATTGAAGATGGAACAAACATAGAAAAGCATAGCTCCTCAAATATTAAAAGACATGTCAGCCTTATTCTTTCTCTTTGTTAGTCTAGACATACGCAGTTCCTGCAACTATTCATCATACACTTTACCTTCCAGTCCCCTAATCATCTTTATTGCTCTTCTCTGCCCTCTTTTTGGAGTTCTCAAAACATAATGAAAGCAGTTTTTTGTAGCCTTCCAGTAACCTAAGATGAAGTCCATCTGGCCCTATGATCTAAATTTCTTTAAATTGGTTACATTCTTATATTCCCCTTGTGTAACCTCTTTTTTTCTGCAATGTTACAATAATGGTCAGCTAGGACTCCAATTTCCTCTGGTTCAAACTAGGAATTAAGAAGCTCTTGTCATCATCACTTTCTCTTTGGATTGGAGCTAAACCCATGGAAATGACCTTGAATTCATCTTTGACTATATTCCTCTCCTTATATTTCCAATAGATTTCTCTTTTACTCTTACGTTTCATTCTGTTAGCATAGTCTATCTTGAATTCTACATATTTTGTCTTTTCCTATCAGCATAGTATTTCTGAGCTGCAGAAAACCAGTAGTTTTCATTAAAACATGTGAAAAATGTTGCTTCTTTTCACATTCTTTTTATATTTCAACAATTCTACATTTGTTCAATCAATTATGGCCTTGAAACTTGCAAATATCTTTATAGGCAGATTCTGTTCTTGATTAATTTAATAATATAATTAGATAGAAATCCTTCTCTCTGCTGTCCTTCTTGGTCTCTGGGATTCCTATCTTTGGGAGAATTTTGACTGAAGAGAGCAGTGATCCACTCGAAATCTCGTAGCCTGGCTCTGATTTTCAGATATGGAGAGTTGGATTTAATGTCAAAAATAAAAATTAAAGCAAACAGCCTCTCTTTAAACTATCCCCAAATCTCTTCAACAGGATGGTTTCATGCATTGTTTTTTTCTCTCCACTCAGTACCACTTTCCAACATTCTCTTGTACTGCTTCTGGATGCCATTGGCATTTCCTTTTGATCCTGTCCATGTGTACACCGAATAGTTGGAGCTGGAACGGGGGCGTGGCAATGCCTGGAAGCAGTAAGTTTGTGGGAAACTGGTGAAGCTTGGCTTGGGCCATCGTAACTTGAAGAACAGTAGGAATGCTAGATATCGGCAGTGCAAAATAGATTGAGTTGGAGTGGGCAATTATCTATCTTGCTTGGGTATTCTTTTTTTGCTTAACCCCCCCCCCCCCTTGTGTATATTGACAGCACACTATGATACAATTAATTAAAGAAGCTGGCTACCATAATGGAATGACTCCAAGAGATGACTCTCCTGTGACAGAAGTCCTGAATCAAGTTTGCCCTTCTACATGGCGGGGAGCATGTAAAACGGCAGTACAGTTGTTGTTTGGACAAGCTGGGCTGGTAAGTATTGGTGGATATATGCTGTATGAAGCTGTATGAAGGTGGCCAAAGTGAAGGGAAGGCAGGAGTGGAAGGCAGGTCATTAAATACTAACCTTAAATTACAGCACTTGGGCCTGTGGCAAAATGCTGGATTCAGGGTTTCAGCCAGTCTGATCTTATTTTCTCCACTTTGCTCCTCTCAACCTCCCCATTTCTCTCTCTTGTTACTCTTGAGATGGTCACACTTGTGGTTTCCTCCCTTTCAGTTTTTTCTCTGGCCTTTGCAAATATTGCTGACAGCAGCTCTTGTCTGTGTAGGTAATTCAGTTTGGACTAAGTTTGCTTTTGGCAGATATCACAATATCATTAACCAGCACATTCGTCATGATCATTGTTTTGGGGAGGACGTATAAACCTAAGAGCAAAATGGGTCTGAGCAGAAGGTTGTACGTATTTCCCTGTATGTTTCATCTACTTTACCATGTTTTTCCTTGAGTTGTCAGAAAAAGAGATGTTCAAGTGGGCTTTTTCTAGCTTCCTATTGTAGCAGTTTAGTTTTGAATTTGACATGACAAAAATATTTATATTCCTGATTTTTCATCCTAATTTCAGGCAGTTACTTTCTTACTCTGCCCACAGGGGAAAAATTACAACGTGGATATATAGGTAGTCCTTGACTTACAACCATTGGTTTAGTGACATTCAAAGTTACAGCGGTACTGAAAAAGTGACTTATGACCACATTTCACATTTATGACTAATGCAGCATCCCCAAGGTCACGTGGTCAAAATCCAGTGACTTGGCAAGTGGCATGTATTTATTTAGGAGTCATTGAGTGACGCTTGAATGTCCTTTAATTTCTTTTAAGATCCATTGTTTCTGGTGCGTTGAACCGAAATCCCTTTGGGTGTTTTGCAGAGCCAGGGAAGCAGTTTCAGGAAGTCAGCTGCATCACTTCTAGTTGACTGTGCTAGTGAAGATCCTGTTTGGGGGTTGGTGGAGGAGGAAACATCTGTCCAGCAAGAACAATGGCTGCTGGAAGTCATTTCCCAGGCCGGGGGTGTGGAAGGTTAATTGGCTGGGATTGAGTCAAGTTTGGTTGAATAGGTTGGCTGTGTGCTCGTTTCCCTTGAAACAGACAGTGGGTATTCTGCCCCTAAAATCTGCTGTCTCCGCAGACAGTTTGAGGATGAGGACAAAGCTTTCATGCAAGGGACCAGAGGGTGGTGGTGATGGTGGTCAAGATTTGTTTTTTTCCAATCTTGTCTGGCAGTTTTAAGCAGGATTAAAATGGATCCCATGAGTTCAAATGTTTACCTTTCCAAAAAAGCAGAAAAAGGAAGATTAAATTATCAGCGGATGAAAAATGTTTAGTGAAATGCTTGCCTCTAAATATATCCTGAACGTTCTTAACTATCACATTTCATGATTAGCATTTTAGCAGCTCCTCACAACTGTAAATATCATTCATATATATCTCTTTGTTTAATGTTTACATGTTCTTGATCCGTGTCCGTGGCGGCGGCAACAAAATGATTTGTTGTTAAGTTTGAAGAGGGACATTCTAGTACTTTTAAAGTGGCGGTTGCTTACTTATTTTTCTTTGCAATTAGGTGGTTGTAGACACAGCACAGAATGAAAATAAAGAAGCTTATGCACCACAAATCAGCTTGGAAGGCTCCAGAATTGTGGTTCAAGTCCCATCAACTTGGTAATTAGAATTTGCTACTTAAGGAAACCCAGAACAGCATTGTGTGTGTTGTTCTGTGTGGAAAAAGTTAAGAAATTTTATTTTAAAACTCTGTGTATTTTACAGTATGATCAAAACTATCCCAATACAGTAATTTGAAGGAAGTACATAGTTTTTCATGCAGTTGATTATTACAGTGGTAATAAATTTTGAATGATCTCTGGAAGCTTCCCACTGAGAGCCTGCCTAACCTTTTGTCAGAAGATTGTCCTGTGTCATGTTCAGAACATTAATAATCTGATCATGAATTATAATACTAATTAATGTAATTAATTAGTATAATGTAATTGATGGAAATATCTGATTCTCCATCTGCATCAGGTGCCTGAAAGAAGATCCTGCAACAATGTCTCTGCTGCAGAGAAGTCTGGATCCAGAGAAAATGTTGGGACTGGTAGATGTACTTTATACTGCCGTGTTTGATCTAAATCGCTGGAAAGAAGGAAGGTTAGTAGACCTGACTGTGGCTGCAGTTGGTACAAAATCATCATTGCATAACACTCCTTGTTCAGGTGGAAATGACTGTGAGAAGCTTCATCTCGTTGTTGAAGCCACTTAGACTATAAATCAGAATTTCTGGGTGGCAGCATTTGACATGGTAGGAAAACCATGGTAGTTTTTTTCCCATACACATCTTAGCTTCCCATTTCAAGGACGTATTAGATTTATATGCCTCTGAGAAATTGGCTTTAACATGTTGCTTTAAAGTGGGGGTGGGTGGGAAACAGAGTAATCCAGAGACAAGAGGATGTGATCACTCCATAGCAAAGGACTGATCCCCAAACCCAGATCAGAACACCACTACCCTGAGAGAAAGACTAGATCCAGTGTGTGACCTCTCACGTGGGTTGGCTCTGTATAAGTTGTAACATGTCCATGGTGTCCATGAACCCTCCTGAACCACCCTTAGTACCAGGTTCAAAGACGGCAGCTTGAAGTTCCCCAGGACTTGGGAACCCCACTACCCAGCTAGCCATAGGATTGTGGATCTTAGGCAGTTGCTGCTACACTGCAAAGAGAGAGAGAAGCAAACAGAAATCCTAATTGATCCCTATAGCTCAACCTCACCTAGCAAGTCTCCCATCCATCTGTGTCTGGAGCCCCACACCCGAAGGCCTTTGGAAACAACCCCCAGTCTCCATGCCTGCCCTGGAGTCTTGGCTGATGCCACATCCAAAATCCAGGGGGGCACATTACAGAGAGGAGACCCAGACACATCTGGTTCCAGTAATAGAGTCAGATGTGGGCCATTGGTTTGTATTTTGTTCGTCCCTGAATTGCATGTTTATATCTAGTTTTCCCAAGTCATTTTTTAATCTGAACTAGAGGGTCATTTTTGTTTCCCCAGGGAACAAGCGTTGCCCTACATCCAGATCCAACTCCAACGTGAGAGCTCTGACTTTGGAAGTCACACTGACTTACCATCTGGAAACGGCAGTAAAGCAGCGGGGGGTTTGCAGAAGACTTTCTCAAAGTTGACATCACGATTTACCAAAAAAACTTCTTGTGCAAGCTCAAACAACAGTGGGAATTACTCCATTCCTAATATACCTTCTAAAACCCATTTTATAGCTAACAACTCAGAGGACAAAGCAAAACTACCAAGTAATGCAGATGTGCGACTGCAAAGTATCTTGAACCTGGGCAACTTTCCGAGGGTTCTTGAGCCTGCCCAGCTGATGCAGAGCTCAAACCACCACGGGGTCAATGGCCTCCTTGAAAGGCCGGAGGGAGGCATTGTGGAAGATGGTAAGGATGCCAAGGGCATGAATCTACCAACTGACCAGGAAATGCAGGAGGTCATTGATTTCCTGTCGGGTTTCAACACGGGCAAGTCCCAACAGACTTCTCCGCTGATGAGAAGAAGAACCTCGGTTGCCTCCTCCTCCTCTTCTTCTGCTGCAGCAGAACAGAAAGCGGCTGCTGTGCAGCTGCCGTCACTACAGTTGTCATCTCACACCCCACTGCATCACCTTCAGCCCGGACTGCCCCAGCAGCCCCATCCCCAGAAACCCCAACAGCAGCAGCAGCAGCAGCAGCACTATCAGCCCCTGCGCCAGCCCATTGGGTCGCAGCAGCGCCTGCCCAGTAAGTGGTCAGCGGGTTCCAGCCAGCCCCCAGGCCAGACTGTTGGGCCAGGGCTGTCCTCGCTGCCTCAGTGGAGCAGCCACGCCTTTTCCGACCTGAGCCCGGACCTCTACAGCCTGGGCCTTGTGAACAGCTACATGGATAGCATGATGTCAGAGATGCTGGGGCAGAAACCTCAAGGGCCCAGGAACAACACGTGGCCAAACCGTGACCAAAGTGACGGGATCTTTGGGGTGCTGGGAGAATTTCTACCTTTTGACCCTGCAGGCAAGTTCAACTGATCGGGATGTTGTTATGTCACAGCATATTGAATGTCTCCAGGTGTTTTTGAATATCAGGGCATTATCCTAAGCTAGCAGTCTCCTATCTGATCTGGGCAGCGTGATTTTGAGTTTAACCTGAAATTTTCTCTCCCCCTTTGATCTGAATTGCTTTACTTTGTTATTGTTTTTTAGCATGGTGAACTAATTTGTGTTTGCGCTTTGGATAACTATTGTAAGCACCCAACAGCAGCTTTTTATGATGATCGTTTTATTTGTATTCCTTTTTTTTTTAAACAAATTTTATTCAGTTTTTCACATTAAAAACAAAAATCTCTTTTTAATGGACAACATATTTCCGGGTCATCACCTTTACATACAAATATGACAGCAATTATACATTCATATATGCATACTTAATTCTATTATTACCTTTTCCATTCCAAATTTTCAGTAAGGAGAGAAACAAACACATTAATTCTAGCCTCTTTCATTAATCTCAATCAAAACATCTTTTTGTTTCATTTCAATTATTTCAAATATAATCCTTTAATATTTATTTTAAAAATAAAGATAAACAATATGTGTTTGAATTAATAATAATTAATAATAATAATAATAATAATAATAATAATAATAATAAAGGTTACCAATGTCTCTCCTTGCTTTTAATAGTCTATGTTAACTTATTAATTTAGTTGGTTCTTTAGTCTGTCATATTCCCTTTCCATTACACATTCTTTTTATAAATTCTAGATTAATACAAATTTTAACACTAAAGAAAAAAAAAACAAGTATAGGTTTCCCCCCTTTTACTGCTTTGAGTGTGACACCTCAATGATTAAAATATACCTTTATTCCCTCATCTTGATTCCCAATAAACCCTTATTTTTAAGAAGTTACAATAATAATCATTACATTTTTTCATTCGGATTCCGCAGCATATTTCCCCCCTTAATTTTTAATAAAAGTTATCAGTATCTATATTACCCTATTTTCTAAATATTTTTAATTGCAGAAATATTCTTATTACCCCTTGTCACCCTGCAGAATCCCTTTTAATTCATCAACCGTTATCTCTGAAAAAACAATTTCTTTTCAACGTTTTACTATTTCCGTAATTCTTTATTTCATGCACCTGTTTCTTACTGCTTCTCCTCCCCCTCTTTTCCCCATATCTTTTCTCCTTCCAGTTTATATCCCTCTCTTTCTTAATATCTTCCTTTCCCCTTTTCTGCTGGGTCTTTCTGCCTATCCCGACTTCACAGGTATTCCCCCTTTTGATTGCCTTCTTAAATCTCAACTTTTTAACCTTCCTTCTTTCCCCACTTCTTTGTGGTGTTCTTTGTGTTAATTGTCTCTTTAAAATGTCTTCTCCTTGAGTCGACTTCTCCTCCTCTGAAGCTCTTTCTTCTTGTTCTTCAATCGCCATTTCCATTTTTTCTAACACAGAGCAAAGTGATTCGCCTCTTTCCTGTAGTAATTCTCTCATTTTTTT